TTTTTTTTTTTTTTGTTCTTGGAAAATGGTTGGATGAATCTTTGTACATTCCTTATTTTACATGAAAAATGAGTAAAATTGTACCTACAAAGAGTGTAATATCTTTGTGATGGATTATATGTCGAGTTTTTGGTGTTTTTGATTGAAAATTAACCATAACGAATGTACATTCGACCAAAAACACCTTAAACGACCGTGCATTCATCATATAATACATTATAAAGATATTAAACTAGTTATAGGTCTAATTTTATTCATTTTTTCATGTCAAATAACGAATTTACAAAGATTTTACATCATCTTTCCATTTTTCAAAAAAAAAAAAAAAATGAAAGAACAAGTATTGTTATTTTAAAAAATAGTTTCGTTGTGAGTGTTTCGACGCTATAAAAACTTCAAACTATAGTTCTAATGACATGTAACATGAATATACAATAGTTATCAAGTAATTTGATCAAAAAAGCCATGAAGAAAGCGCGGTTGTTGTCGAAAAAAACTATAACAAATGTACAGTCGTTATGGTTTTTTTTGACACAATCCACCTTAAACGATCGTGCATTCGTCATATAATACATTATAAAAATATTAAACTCATCATAGGTTTACTTTTAATCATTTTTAGTGTAAAATAACGAATAAACAACGATTCTACATTATCTATCTGTTTTTCAAAAAATAACTAAAAAACGCCCGCGACAACCTGCCTGTCGCGCCCGGGACAGGCCGTCGCGAGCTTCTGCACCTCCATATTTCGTATCGCGCCCGCGACAAGTATCCTGCCCGCGACAGTCGCACTGGTCGCGTTCGCGGGAAGTGTCGCGCCCGTGACATCCTGGATAGCTGTCTGTCCAAAAAAGAAAAGCAGAGTGTCGCGCCCGCGACACATATCACGCCCGCGACACATATCACGCCCGCGACAACCTGGGAAGTTCTCTGCCCGACGGATCTTAACCTTCAGTGTCGCGCCCGTGACAACTATCACGCCCGCGATAGGGATAACGATGATACCTTCGTTATTTCATACTTGATAACGACTGTACTTTCGTTATACTTTCGTTTTTAGCCTTTTTTAATGTACTACTACTATATAATACTATAAAACGAGACTATAGTCG